AGACAATCTCTTCAAGTCACGATTCGACGTGACCCTATGACGTAATCGTCCAAATATAAATCTGCACGTCTCAGCAAGTTTCTGTTTACATAAATCTGCGAGTCTGGGCAAGTTTCTGTTTTCCTTTTCGGAAAAGAAATGTATTTCACACAAAACAAACAGGACAATATTATGACCCTGGCGAAATGTAACGTAGCCTTGATAACAAATTTGATCTAATGGCCGTCGGCACCTCACAGACAATCTCTTCAAGTCACGATTCGACGTGACCCTATGACGTAATCGTCCAAATATAAATCTGCACGTCTCAGCAAGTTTCTGTTTACATAAATCTGCGAGTCTGGGCAAGTTTCTGTTTTCCTTTACGGAAAAGAAATGTATTTCACACAAAACAAACAGGACAATATTATGACCCTGGCGAAATGTAACGTAGCCTTGATAAAAAAAAAATTGATCTAATGGCGCTCCTAGTGTGTCCACCTAGTAGTGAGTACAATGATTTAATATTTTAACGAGTCAAACTCACCGACGTTGCGAAATCTGTACGCCGCTCCGATGTGTTTACGCGGTCCTAAATTAATATCTATTTGGACCAGTCCAACTTTCACATAGGCTCGATTTCCGCCGCTCTCTCGAGTCCGGGCTTCGTTCTTCCCCGAGAAAATCTTTCACAAGGCGAATACATTCATATATATTCATACTCACCCCTAGCTCTCCTCCTAGCACTTTGGCGGAGTAGAGCAGGAGTAGAGGTATAAGTGATCGACGACAAAAAAAAACAGAAGCTATTTTATTAACCGGGCTGGGCCCCAGGCCCACGCCCGGTTAATAAGCCGTACGAAAAGAAACGTAGACTCTGTTAAAGTGTGCTACGCATGCATATCCTTCATTTGCGAACTTTATTTTTGTGTCAAATGGTCAGATAGGATGGTCCTCGATCATCGATCCGTGTTTGTTGTTGATTTATGAACCGAATTTACATTTTTGCTTCCAATCATTTCGACGGTTTAAGTGTTGCAAATTAAAACAACAACTGTTTCTCTTGGTCTGTTATAATTATTCACCCCTACGCTGAGACACGAGAGACCATCAAGTTATCATAATTTGTATTCATTTGATGAAGTACTGGTACGATTTGATCCGAATTTCAAAACAGACACGAGATCGCATCACCAAAATCGAAGTTACCAGATCGCTTCGTTTGATTATATTCTTCAGTTTATGTTATGATCATGAAATAAGTCTCCTTATATATTGTAAACTGCTGGTAAAGATCGAGAACAAACAACACAAGGTTTACTTACCGCAACGTTCAGTTCAGTTCGCTTTTAGAAAGTGAAAGAACGAAAATTTCGCCAGGGGCGTTCTAGTTTGCGTGCAGACGTCGAAGCAAAGGAAATTGGAGAACTCTGCACTCAGGAAAGGGGGTTTCCCGACATTCCGAGAAAACAGACTAATTATATCATAAATTACGTCATGCGATTATTTTGGTGCGCGAGTAAAACAATTGATTTCGAATTTTGCAAGATTCGACGGAGACTCCTTGTATGGTCCGGTTTATTAATACCCGGGGGGGGGGGGGGGTGGTATTTAATTTAGGGAAACGCCGGTATGTGGATAAACGTCCATAAACCGTACTTTGGTCAATTAAGTATTATATTCGTGATTAATTACGATTCTTTTTGAGTACAAGTACCTGTAATATGTCTCCCAAAGCTCGCAAGTGCTGTATGTGAATTCATGCTTGGATTGATACGGTAACAATGTACGGTACCGGTAATACAGTCTGTCGTTCAGTGTTTTGGTTTTGAAGGAAAAGGGAGGAGGGGGACTTAATTAAAAGAGAGGAAGGGGTCTTAATAAATTTCTTGCTACAAAAAGTGGGGTATTTCAGATTTAACAATGACGACAGGGACGTCACTTGAGGACGTGAGAGCGCGCGGAATAGTCTGGACCCAACTTTATTTCGACTTCCGGTGCTCCCGTTGCCGTCCTGTGGCAAAGTTCACGACGCCATTTTGGTGGTTTTCACGTTGCGATCAGAACGTCACATATTTGCTGTCATTTTGCTGACATTTTGCGGCATTTTTCGCTTCGCTCGCCGTCGTCGCGAAGTCCCCGTCGTCATTGCTAAATCTGCCTATTATTTGAGGGAGGGGGGGGGGGGGGAGGGGGGGGGGGGAGGGGGGAGTGAATAATTTGTTTTGTGTGAAAGTTCTGTTATCAATGTTGTTATAACTGTGATCGTGCATCGTTCTTATTGCTGGTTCAGTGATTCTAACGAGAAACGAGTCGCGTTTCGAGACAAAAGAGACGCATCTCGAGTGAACGAAACGCGCCTCGAGAGAAACGAGACGAGAAGTGGTAATAACTTAAAATGGGTGGTACTTTTAGTGCGGATTTTAATAGTATTACAGTATCAAAATTAGGGTTGAGGGGTGCTTATTGAAAAGAGGACAGTGACACTAGATCAGGTCAGTACCCCCCTAACGGTAATATTATTACCAGTTACTAGTTTTCTCTTTCAGGCTCCATTGAGTCAGACAATGGTAGAAGATGGAAGAGCTCGCTATAGTCCTACTCTTATAGAGCGATTTTCAGTTGAGTGTCGAAAGTAATCACTGAATTGCTTTGGTTTTGCTTTACTACGCTCTCTGATTGGTTTAAAAAAACTCGCGCCACCTACTCAACCAATCAGATGCAAAACCAACGCCGATCGCTACTTTGTCACACGCGTTTTCCCGCACGTGGCGCTGGTTACGTGTATTTGCTTCGAGTTCTCATTGGTTCGTTTTGTCGTTTTCGTTGGTTGTGATTGGCCATTGTAATTGCTTTGGTCTTGGATTTACGACACTCAATCAAAAACCGCTCCATTATTGTCTTGTATTGTAATATATAGTCAACATGTAACGCACGAAACAATAAATGAACAGAGTTTACCATGTTTTATTAACCTAATAGAAGATGTTTTTTTATGTTCTACAGTATATACCAAATATAAAACGTTTTCCGAATTTCCATAGATGTATGGTAACACGAGTGAAGTCGTGGGAGAAAGAGAAATGCTGTAGTGGAAACACAAGCCGCAGCCGAGTGTTTCCACAACAATTTCGAGTTCTCCCAAATGGCTTTCACGAGTGTTACCATAACTCTATGAAAACACAGGGTAAACGTTTTCTATTGTTTTTTTTATGAAATAAAAGCACGAAGCAATTTTGTTTATGTAGAGTTATGGTAAATGGTTTTGAGCCAATCAGAGCGCGGCTAGTATCTTGTTTATTTTATAAAAGAAAACGATGCACACTCGTGGTCAAGAAAGGCAGCTAGGGGATCCATAAGCTGCAGTAACGCCACTCGACTTGTGTCTCGTAGCGTAATTTTTCATCCGTACAGCTATTAGAGTAAAAATGCACGGCCAAAATAATGGAATATATTTAATATATAATTCACGGCCAGATTCCATCCCGTTTAATTATATGACAGAAAATTTCTAAACTGTAATAAAAACATGGCTTTTTTAGCCAATCAAAGCATGCGCATAATCTAATATATTATTTTAATAAAGTGACACTATTAAATAACGAAATGAATAGCATTAATATAGAATATTTTAAAGCTTTAAGCAGTTGCCCAGTCTAGACTTTGAGAACAATTCATCATACATAAGGGGAAAAGACGTGACTAGAATGGATAGACCAAAATCAGATCAGACGTTACCCTAACCCACAAAAGAAAGCTAACAATTCTCGGGGCTACAGTAGGATAACCGGGACGCTATTCTCGAGGATAATCAGCGCTATTATCGGGGATAATCGTGCTATTATAGGCCAACTGGGATGCTAAAGTAGACTGATCTTATTTTGGTCTATCCATTTAAGTCATAGCCCTATACATGCACAGTGACCAAAGTAGGTTACGCTTTCGAGTTCGTCACTGCTACGACTACACTACAGATACCACAAAACCATATGTCAATTAAAAACTTACAGAACTAGCTATTTGAATATACGAATAGTTTTTAAAGAAAATGAATTGTTGAGTTTTCCGCGAAGTTTAAATCACCTTTGGAAAGTTCCAACTAGAAGCGATTTTTGAATTTCGGGAATTTGATTTGACATGTAATGTTTTGCTTTTGCTTTATTCTATTCGTTCAAAAGTTACGGAACATTTTCAAAATAGCGAGAGAAAAAATCCGTACGGAGTGACCGCATGGAAATGGCTCTCAACGAGATAATATTTAGTTTCGTTGACTGATCACATTGATCTAGCGACTGTCCAAATTTGCTTGAATTTGAACAAATCGCCTTTGAGTTGTAACTCTTTCAAAAGTGTTCCTTTCAAGCTAAAAATAAATTTTGAACAAACAGCGCTTATGCTGGAAACGAATATTCACTACTACTTTCTATCTGAGGCTATATTGACAACAATTTGTTGTGCTGGGAAAATAACACCAATTAAAAGCACCCATTCCTCAATAGACTAGATTTAAAACTTCTTAATAATCGGAAAGGAAAATACTCGCCACCGAATAAAATTGAAAGGAAATTATTACAACTATGATATGATCGAAAAACTCAAAAAAAATGAGGAAACATGACGTATTTCCGGCTGCTGTTTCATGCCGTCGGAGAATCCGTCTTCATTCCCAGGCTACAAGTGATTAGTTTAGAGTAACTTTTGGTCTTTTTTTTAACTGAAATAACTACTTAAATACACGAGAGACCAACACCATCGCAGGTATATACCCAACTTAAGCAGTTGCCAAAATAAACACTGAAGAAAGCCTGAAAAAAAGTTCAGGCTATTTTTATTCAGGCTTTCTTTCAGGAGGGAGGCCCGGGCGTCTTTCTTTTCACGACTGCTTCAGTTGCGTACATAACTGCGATGGTCTTTCATGTATTAAATCTTTCACCCGCAGTTCAAATATATGATTTCATATATTCATTCTCTACTATACGGGTATATTACGAACTCACAAATTAAGTGACCAGCTCCCAGTTGACTTGGTAGCTCCGTTGGTAAAGCACTGCACCGGTATGCATGGTTCGAATCCCGTCTAAGCCTGAACTATTTTCAGGCGTTCTTTTCGCCGACTGCTTTAAGTTGTGTACATAACGTTACTGCGATGGTTATTAAATATTTCACCCCGTAAATCAAATATATCATATTTCATATATTCACTTCATAAAAAAAACTAATGCAATGTTTTGTAAATTTTCAACTATTTTTAAAAGGACAGTAACATCTCTCATCGCAAAGGTTTTCTATGTCTGTACACTGTGTCGACTCATATACTTCGGTATTGGACATATAGGCCCACACACAACTGTTGAATTACCTGGTAACAGGCTTTAAAAGCTGATTATAAATTACTTTACAGAACAATTATTTTCCCTCATAATAGCTATTTCGATTGTAAACATAATAATTAAAGGCATTTATGTTTGTAAAGAAAACATTATATGCGAACTGACTACATGCAAAAAAAACGTTTATAAAAAATGTTGTGAAACAAAGTATTCACAAACTATCACTTGTAACACATTTCTAGGTCATTGCTTGCTTTACGTCTGGATCAAGTCCTCTATTTGATCAGGTCTTTCTTCGCAAACACTATCAACAAAAGAGACACAGATAAACCACAATTTAATGAAAATAGTGCTATGATTGTATAAATATTGTGCTGCGTTCTATATTGAGTAAAGAAAGTCAATTCTATCGTAGGCACCAGTTCTCTACCTTCTTCGCCCCCCCCCCCCCCCCCCCCCCCCCCCCCCTCCCCCCCCCCATGTGAAAGGGGCGGGTTGCTTGTTTAACCCCTATTTTCCACTAAAGGAGACCAATCTGGGCGTGGCTCAAGATTTATTTTACCCCTAAAAGATACCAGATTTCATGCCTGATCGGTGTAGACCACCAACGCAGTCTGACGACGTTTTTTTATTAATTCGCGTCCAAACCTAAACGATACCTTAGATGGCTAATATTATTGGCGTTCTGTCCTTACCACCCTAAGTGAGACCGAATCCGTAATTTACATCCCTAAAACAGACAACGAGCATGCATACCCGCCTCTTCCCAATTAAATTTATGACTATTATCTCACACAGTTAATTGACTTCTTTAAAACCCAAAATATGAAATGTTCTTCTCTAAATTTAAAAAAGTTTAAGTCTGTCTACAAGCTTAGTGGCTTATATGGCCGGCGCGTAAGTCCAGTTTCCATAGCATGAAGCGACCAGGAGTAATGGTACTTCTCCTGGGTGGGATTCTAGTCCATCGCGGGTAACGGCCTCAGTTGCCCCCAGTACCAGGCCATTTACTCCTGGGTGGAGAGAGGCACTGTGAAAGTCGAGTATCTTCCCCAAGAACACAACACAATGTCTCGGCCAAGGCTCGAACCCGGACCGCTCGATCCGGGAGTCCAACGCGCTAACCATTAGACCACCGCGTCTCCCACCTAAAATAAATTAACTAAATTAACTAAATTAACCTTACCTTTATTTTCCAAATTCAAATGTCACGTTATCTCCAATCAGCATGAAAGGTGCCCAGTCGCAAACCTTAGGGTAGCCGTTAGATCTCATCCACTTCATGGCCTCGTGAAGGGATTCACTGGCACTTTCTCCACGAACAAGGTGCTCGTAGAAACGACTTATCAACTGCTCTGTTGCTCTGTCTTCCAGGGCCCACAGTGCCACCAACACCGAGCGTGCACCGGATCCTAAAAACGCTCGAGCGATTCCAACAACTCCCTCTGCTTTGATCTGTCCTTGTCCACTGTGACAACAGCTAAGTACTACCAGTTTGGCCCGCAGTTGAACTTGTGAAATGTCGGACATTGTCAATAGGTACTCTTCTTCTTGTGGATAGGATAAGTAGTGTGTAAAGGGGATAGGGCAATTTCTCCTCTTTCGGCGTTGCCATGAGCAGCAATATGTATCAGACTTACTGAATGCAGCCTTTGAAGTACCGCCTGCTTTGTTGCCTGCTCTCCTAGCAAAGGCTTAAAACCCAGCAGTCGTCCGATCATCTCTGCTTCTTTTCTTGCACAAGCCAACGGTTTGAAGTTTTCAAGACATCCCTTGTAAAACACCTGACCAACCTTAGGATCCCCCACAATCAGTGCACCAGTCTGACTGTGATAGTCTGAAGGACTGTTTTGAATGAGCTTCAGAGTCGTCAAAGAAGGAACAATGCGGTTTCTGAACGTCTCTGATAAATACTTCCCACTTTCGTCAATTAATGCTGCAAATGGAACTTGGTACAAGGAGCGATCAGGAACGATGATTATTTCGGGCTCCTCAAGTAAGTCAGCCACAGGAGCGATGATCATTCTGTAAACCGACAAATAAAGAATCGCTTCAGAAACTTGGCTTCCTTCTTCATCAGCCTCGAAAAGTCGCAAATCTGATGAGCTCCCTTCCTGGGATGACTTCAATTTAGGTTGAGAGCCATTTAACGATCGATCTTCGCAATCATTCTCGGGTAAAATACCAAAGTTGCGGAAGCTTTTAGCGAAAAATGCATCCAAATCGGAAACTGATCCGACTTGAGGAAAGTCTTCATTGACTGCTATTTCTCGGAACGTAATGACTCCGCTTGTTCTGAGAATCCAGAAAAACAAATGTTGACCATAATAAGCGATGTATAGACAAGTACAGTTTCTTTCTTTCTTCATGATACTTTCAATGCCAACCCACGATTGCGTATCAGATGAGATTTGCTTTTCAGCACAGTACCGAGATGTCATCAAGTCTGCCAGGGCTCTAGCCCGTCCTAGCTCTACAATATAAAGAGCCTGTCACTATTCCCATAGGCGCAAAACAAAACAGTTAGAACTTGGTAGAAAGAAATGTTACGATCTGAAAAAGATATCTTAAATTGATCGTTGTCTACAAGAAAATCTCGTAAATTTTCGCATTTTTCAATACTTTGAAACAGACAGCGGGATACTTCCTGGATTGGTTTTCTTTGCGATAACTTCACTAATGAAAGTTCGCAAAGGCAGGATAACTCTTTTTCACGATCACCGATATCTTTACTTATAGAAAGTGCCTTCTCGATATTCTCTTCAGCCTTGTCATATTCACCAAGACATTGAAACACACGTGCAAGGTTTGGTTAAATCTGCTGCTATCCCTTCTCTGTCACCGATGGCTTTTGTAATCACAATTGATTTCTCGTGGTATTCCTTAGCCTTGAGATATTCACCGAGAGAATGAAACACAGTTCCAAGGTTTCCGTAACATGCTGCTTCTCCTTTTATGTCACCAATTTCTACTTTAATCGTAAGTGCTTTCTCGTAATATTCCTTAGCACTGAGATATTTACCGAGACATCGAAACACATTTCCTAGATTTATGTAACTTGATGCTTCTCCTTCTGTGTCACCGATGACTTTTCTGATCACAAGTGCTTTTTCGTAATATTCCTTAGCATTGATATATTGACCGAGAGAATGATATAAGCCCCCTAGGTTTCCGTAATCTGCTGCTTCTCCTTTTCTGTTACCAATGGATTTTCTGATCACAAGAGCTTTCTCGTAATATTCCTTAGCCTTGAGATATTCACCGAGAGAATAATACACAGCTCCTAGATTTCCGTAATCTACTGCTTACTCCTACTTTGTCACGATCGCTTTCTGATCACAAGTGCTTTCTCATGATATTCCTTAGCCTTGAGATATTCACCGAGAGAGTAAAACACAGTTCCTAGGTTTCCGTAATCTGCTCCTTCTCCTTTTTTGTCACCGATCGCTTTTCTGATCACAAGTGCTTTCTGGTAATATTCCTTAGCCTTGAGATATTTCACCGACAGAAAAAAACACATTTCCTAGGTTTCCGTAATCTGCTCCTTCTCCTTCTTTGGACCGATCGCTTTTCTGATCACAAGTGCTTTCTCGTAATATTCCTTAGCCTTGAGATATTTCACCGAGAGAATGAAACACATTTCCTAGATTTGCGTAATCAGCTGCTTCTTCTTTTGTGTCACCGATGGCTTTACTGATCACAAGTGCTTTCTCATGATATTCCTTAGCCTTGAGGTATTCACCGAGAGAATGAAACACATTTCCTAGGTTTCCGTAACATTTTGCTTCTCTTGTCTGTTCCTATTTCTTTTCTGATCACCAATGCTTTCTCGTGACATTCTTTAGCCTGAGATATTCACCGAGAGAGTGAAGCACAGTTCCTAGGTTTCCGTAACATGTTGCTTCTCCTTGTCTGTTTCCTATTTCTTTTCGGATCAACCAATGCTTTCTCGTGATATTCTTTAGCATTAACAAATTCTCCAAGGTGATGCAACATAGTTCCAAAGTTTCCATAAGCAACTGCTTCTCCCTTTCTGTCGCCAATTTCTATCAAGATATTGATTGCTTTTCTTATAAAGTTCTTTTGCCTGTACATGTTTTATTTTGTCTCCGATATATTTCTGCCATTTCTATGGCAAACCGGCTTTTTTACTACATTCAGGGAATACGACAAGAGCTTCACTCCCCGCATCGGATTGCATTTGTGTAATCAGCGATAACAGAGTACGCCCTGAACATTACAAAATAGATACGCAAACAAAACATATTGGCCAATTCTTCTTGCATTCCCTGACGTTTATCATTTAGGATAATTAAAACATTCGTTGCATAACTCGATGGCCTTTAGACTGCGACCGGTGTTGAGAAGGAATTTAGCAACAAGGACGGCTATTAATATGGCTTCTGCAACTTCAACTATGTTGTGCATGATACTCTCTTCTGTAAGCCTGATAAAAGTAATTAAATAAAAACACGGTAAAATGTTTGTCAGACATCACAATAGATATTTTACAGAAACCTGCCACGTGACTTTATATCAATCACGGCAAGGCTTGCTATCCAGCAACCTTTTTCACACATAATACCCCGGATGGCGAGTATGACGACACAAATATAGCTTATGGAACTTTTTATAATATATTTTATCCTAAAATCATTTTTAAATCTTCTTTAAAATTTTCAAACTTTCAAACCGCCATAAAAAAGTTTAAAAACCCAAACTTGAACATCCGTGAAATTGACAACCTTACTCATT